CGAAGATGGATGTCAGTGGGTTAGGAGAGGAGAAGCAGCGTTTTTCATATCTTAGTAATATCACTAAAATGAGCATATGTCTATGGTATCTGATATCCTTTCTTTCAATACAATGCCCAAACTGGACGATACAGAAACAAGCTCACATGCTAATCTATATACATACACTTTAAACTCATTTCTTTATCTACTGTGTAGGTCAAAAGTGCGTCTGGCTACATTCTGTAATTATAATATTAAATGTGTGCATTTTCAATACATCTTATAATCAAGACGCATGCCATTACATACAGACTTCCTGAATAAGCATGAATGTAAGATGTGTATTTTGAATAAAATAAACATCTTACCAACCTTACTTTTGTTAGCAAATAACTAAATTTGGGAGAAAACAAAACACACACAAACGATACATTCCGGCGTCGCCACATTCCACTATATACATACAAAATAAATTAAAATATACTTTTTGGATGACCAAGGCACGTTTGGGAAATTATCGAAATGGATGTTAGAAAAATCAATTGTCAATATACACTTGGCTACATTATCCGTACTTCTTTACCTTTAATAGATGAGTAGCTTCGTTATAGGAGAGCTGTCAATTAATTTATACGAAACATACACACGTAAAGTACTTCTTTGTAATATTAGTCATGAATCTGTAAGCAAAACACAACGTTAAATATATATTATACAATGCCGTGAAATTAATAACTACTGAAACGGCATACCTTACTTAGAAACGAAAAGAGCGAAGCCATGAACAAAGTAATAGGAATCCAATATGCCGAGGTAAACTAATTTATCGGACCGAGGGAAGCGTGAATGCAGTATGTAAAACCATGAATGATGAAGTAATTTGTGACACTTCAATTTAACCATAGCGTGTTTCTGTGTAAAATACAGCGGTAGATATGCACTCCTTGTTTTAAAAACCATTAGTTCTGCGTCCTGTCTGTTCATCATTAATGGTTAAGAAATTTCAGACACCGCAATTTAACCCAATGTGTTTGTTTTAATTATGGTTGTGCATATGCACTGCTTGCTTTAACCATTAATTCTGCATATTGTTTATCACAGGTTTAGTGTGAAGCATTATTCTTGGAATTATCAGGGATTAATTCCCTAAAACACTAATCTGTTGGTCTTTGTAATGGAGACAGGGTTGTGTGGGCTTTGAAGTGTAAAATAAACATTAAATATTATTTAGACTACCTGTAGTTTCAAGGAGTTAACCATTGAATTCCTTATTTAACCAGTGTAAATCAGACTAAGTTTAGGATAAACCTGATCCTATAACAATTGAAATGCATTTTTTCTGAATACGAATTTGTGTAGTGTAAATTAAATTGTAGTACAGTACAGAGGGCAATATTATTTCTGGTCAAAGCATGTTTTAATTTTTAATTTGAATAAATTATCTCTGTTAACAAATGGCGAGGGGGAGTTGTGCTATATCACAGGCAGTTAGTGGCCAAGAGCAGAGAACAGCATTTTCAAGAAATTAAGAAGTGATGAATGGACAAAACAAAAGAAAACACAAATTATATGCTTCATGCAGTTCAGATATTTCTTCTCTGAATCACACCATTCTGAAGAGAAAAAAGAAAGTGTGCTGAATTTGGCTGAGGACAGTACTTGATGATTTGTGGTGATGTATGCTGATAATTATTCCAACCTAACAAAGGGCACACAAATTACAGTAATATGCATTACACTACAAGGACATTGTTTAGAAATATCTTCTCAGAAATGCAAACTTCAATTTAAAATTACATATCATCTACAATTAAGCAGATGCTAAATCAGCCTCAGTATCACAAAAGACAGGTACCATTCACACAAGTTTATAGATGCTTCCTTGAATCTCTAAGTGGCCCAGTCTCTCTGGAGCATGCTTCTACAGTGCCTCATACATGTTACTCTGCGCCCACAGACGCTCATGCCCATGCACACACATACACAACATCCAGACAATTTCTTTTGCAGATGACCTCAAAAGGTAGACCTTATCTGGAGAATTCCTCAGAAATTATAATGACCAATGGGATATAGATAATGTAAAGATTTGCCTAGAAGGAGCTAATCTCTTTCCAATGGACCAAAATATTTGGTTTTATTCTTATACCAGATGATGGAAGTAAATCCAGCTTCTGAAATGTGTTTTTAGCCAGGAGAGGAGGATGAAGGAAAATGTCTGAGTACATAGCAATTTACAACAAATGTTTGTCACAAATTTTAGATTAAACTTCTATCCTGGTTACTCCCAGTTTGCCCCAAGTTTCCCTTGGGCTTATCATCCTCCATCACTGTCCTCCTTCTCTGCTTACTTGGAAGACAGAGCTTCAGGGGGGAACAGGTTATTGGGTGTGACACTTCTTGGAGTGAGACCACGTGGAAGAGTTACAATGGATTACAGAAACATAACAAATTAACTTCTTACTCCATATGTAACATACAAATGGATAATATCTATGCCCAGCATCTAGCCATATAATTTTGTATGCTGAGCCAGTGCTGCTAACTGGTGACAAATACACACAGACATTACTTGCGTGTATAAATGTATTGCAAATAAAACTACCATACACTCAAACAGTTGAGATTTTCATAGCATATTTTCAGTCAACTGAAAATATAAGGCAAAATTACTCTCATGTCTAAAATCCATTCCATGGACACATGGGACAGACAGCACTGGACTGATATAAGCAGTCAGCTTCACACTCCAGCCACATAAACTTGGGATAAAGGAAGCTGGCCAAGTCATTTTGTCATGAAGGTAAAGAGAACTACCCTTACCCCTTCCTGAACCCTGACAGTCCAGCACACAGTACATCACTTTACTGACTGGCCAATCAAGACAAGTCTTTGCATCCATGATGGAGTTCTGAGAAAATGACTTTCATTTAGCAAGTTCATCTTAGTGAAAACTTCCCCGTTCTTCTGCCTTTATAACTAAAACTTAAGAAAATATGCATATCTAATACCATTAGATACCATTAGCCTCTCCCCTACACAAATGATGTCAGACACTATTATAATTGCTCCATGAGACTGGACGCCCGCTTCAAGTCTGAAACAAATACAGAGATACGAGTTTATCCAGCGATCTGGAACAAATAAATATAGGTCACAAAGAGACGAGCGATTTTTTGGGAACCCATAACCTACCCGGTAGGCTGTTTAGCAGATAACTTACATACAAACAGTAAGATTCAGGAAATTCACTTAGGTAAATATTTCTGTAATGTACATTCAACTCACTCTTGGTGAAAGAAATTTCTCATGGGATTTTCGACCAGTGTATGAGACCGGTGCCAACCCAGCATCGTGAGGAAATTGGGGAGCTACAATGGGTAGTGTAATCCGGTCATGAAAACTAGCAATGGCTCTGGGTTTGTTGTGCTGACCACACGTCACCCTATATCTGGTTGGATGATCGTTCACCTCTGCTTAGGCATGTGAACGTAAGCCCAGCAGCCAGCTAGTCGGCTTTGGCTCTCTGGAGCTGTTACGCCACGGATTCAACTCTCAATGTCCTACATACAATTATACCCATTCCTCTTTAACCCATTTTCTAAATCGTATAAGGAAAGAAAGCTTCAAGGTATCACACACGTTCATATCAATGATCTAGTTCAGTCAAAACCAATTCCTGCGACAGAAGACTCACCTGCCAACAGAAGGTGCAGCTGTTGTGCATTCATGCTGAAGTTGTGGGTGCACTGTGTCCCAGACATTGGATCCATCACCTGCAGACTGAGCCGTAGCTCCCCTACCGTCAGATTCTTGTCCACGACAACCGTGTCCAATCGCCACTGCACATCCTGCAGATGGCTCACTGCAACACACGCAGTACGGCTGTTGATTGGCTCACAGTTTTTGTATGTAATATAGTAGGGAATGGCAGGGTGATTGACTTGGGTGGGTAAAGAAGCAGTCATGGCTTATTTTTAACTCCTACAGATCAATGTCCCCTGCTTCTGTTTACATGCTAAAATACTGCATACAAGTTTACTGGGCTGAGAGTTACAGGATACTGCAAATGGCATGGTAACAATGAGTCACTTTGCAGTCATCTATAATGCCAGACAACAATCACATCTTATCAACCTGCAGTTCAGACAGCATAATTAAATATCCTAAAAACTGTGAAATTCAGTAGCAACTGCACATACATCGCAGACTATGGTCCCGCAGTTTGCTGGAGATAGACGCCAGATTATCATTGTAGACACGGCAAAGTGCTGTCGCATGTTCCCTTGGTAATCCCAGCTGCTGCAATTCACTGCCCAATGTCTCCCCATCCACACCATGGCGAGCTGAGGTTGCCAACACAAACAGCAGTGCTGCCACGCTTGCCTTAACCTCACCCGACTCTGAAACACAATTCAATTACCACCATCTCCTAATAGAACCAGAAGGTTCAGGAATACTAATAGGTATCTTAAGCCAGTTCCATCTGCTTCCCATCCCTATAACCTACTTCCCTAAGATCAGTCTTAATGTTATACTCTGACTTGACCTTTATTTGCTCAAGTGACTACTTTCAAAAACGTTTTCCCATCAAATTGATGTACCCATTTCTTGTCTCCCCCTCCCCCCACAATTTCAAAACTCTGAACATCATCAGGTAACACGAATCACAGAGCTACTCAGCTGTAATATCCTAAACTGCAATGACAGCTTAACAAATAGTAAAGAGTTAAACATAATTAAAAGAAAATCAACTTTATGACACAGAATTGTACCCAAGCAATTCATATGTATTCAGCTGCTTTCATAAAACCCGAAGCTTTGTCACTGTGTCCAAAAAAACCCACCAATGCAGCTTATGCTGAACCAGATGAATCCAGTCTACAGTTTCACACATCCTTAGTGCTCTAACATGCACAAATACATAAAAAGACAATAAATTTCCTTCAACCTGTTGGAAAATATAAGCAATATTCATGTACAGAAAGAAGATGCAAAATGTAGTAAGATAATACACAATACAAGTAATTTCACTCACCGAACTTTGCATCTGCTGTAAGCTTCTTAACTCTCTCAAACTGAAATAAGAAAACAAAACAATGACAGCTTACCTAAAAAGGAACAATGCAAAAGCTCTGGGATGAAGATAGGAGACGATGCTGCCATAATCTCACACGAAATGTGAAGATATGAGCACGTTAGGACTGAAAGAAAAGTACTATCCTCTTCACAACCTACGTCTTGCAGTTCCATTTCAATATTATCCTCCTCAGTGGAGGATCAAGAAATATTTGCACAATTTTGGTTGATAAACCTCTGAGGAGTTAGTAATCTTCATGCACAGATTCGAACTGTGGTCTTTGTGAATGCGAGGGAGTGATAAAACACAGCAACATTCAGTACGGACTTTCCAACACCCTGTTACTCCACTGAGAAGCTAATATAAAGCCAGTCTGTATAGGTTCCAGATTAATGTTGTATGTTATTGAATTTTGTCTTCCCAGGCTCCTTTACAATCTCTTGTGCAAACAATGTGTTATCCTCCTGCAAAATTTAATCTCTAAATGTGTGGTACTACTGTCAGGTGAGAGGATTACGCAAAGATTGCCAAAGGTATAAACACACACAAGTCTCTGCTGCAGTTTCTCTAATTTGCAAACAAGACATTTTTACTAAACCTCCGACTCACTTGCGCAATGGCTGTATGAAGCCTTTTTCATGTGAAGTGTTACAACAGAGCATGCTCAAAAATCTACCCTTGCAGAGATATCAGCAGTAAAGATATCACACTGCATAGGAACTTCATACTTCTGCCTTGCTAAATATGTGGAAAAATAATATAATAAAACTTGGTCTATATTGCAGAAATAAAATCACAACAAAAAGGGAGATGAAAAATCTTAAAAAATGTGATATGGATCCAGTACGCGGGAACAATGGTAATAAATCAATACTGCATTCATAAAGAAATTAAGAGCAGATTGAATTCTGGGAATCTTTCGTCTTCTCATTAAAATACACAAAACTGGAATTACACATCGGTGTCTCATTGTATGGGAAGAACATAGATTGAGAATGTTTGATAACAGGGCGCTGAGAGGGATGACATTACAGGCCTCAAGCGTCCTTCTGTTCATAACAGTTTACATAAAACTATATCAACTGAGTTAATAAGCACACAGACATGACACCACAATCCTGTCCTTGTAAAACAAGTAACATGAAAATTATAAATATTCTGTAGATACTCCTTTTTCAAGCAATAATCATTACCTAGTAATGAGGGGCAAACAGAATATTTCAAACCAAATTCAACAACACTGAGAGAAATTCCACCATATTTCTTCACCAGAAAAGAAGTTTTTGTTGTAATAAAATTGCTTTGCTGCACTAGGCGGTACTACATTTTTCCATTTTGGCAGTTAAGGTGGTGCATCACGTCCCCAACCCCTTCTAAGAGACTCAGGGGAGATCAAAACCTCTTTGTGCTGACATTATCTCATAATGATGGGTCTGTGAAAGCTCTGGCCTGGATTGAATCAAGTCTGATCCTTTCACAGCCCCTTAGATCTTCCTCCTGTCTCAGTGATGCCATCACTCAAACACCACAGCTGATTGGAGCATGAACAGCGTATGTCCATCAATCCTCTATTGGCTTTGTAAATCTCATTACCTGTATTCTGTTCGAGACTAACTTTAAACGTGGAAAATAGGCCTGCAACGACCTAATGTTCTACCTTGCAAATAATAACAGAAAGCAAATTATTGAAGGAGTATTAACATGAGATGAGGATGAGACAAATCTAACAATTCAATCAACTGATAACACAATTAAATAAAATTAAATAATATTAAAGCTTACCGACTGGACCAAGACTTCTCAAACATTTCTTGTTTTCTCGCCCTCTGACAACAAGAGGTGAAAAATAAAAACTATGAAGCAATGCGTTTTGTAATTTTCTCAGTTTCTTTCTTGGTTACATTCCTAAGTGCTAGTGTCCATACATTCTTCAGAAGCTGATAGTCATTCAGATGGTCAGGAAATCATGCAACACTTATGGAAACAAAATTAAAATATTCAAGAAAACCTCTCACCGGATCTGAGTTAAATCTGATTCACATCATTACACTCCATTACTTGAAAATCCTTCAATCTAGGCCTGTATTTCCCAAGATGTATCTTGCCTTTGTTTTTCCTGACAAAAACCTTGCATGAGTTTCTAAATTCACTCATGTGTGATACACGTCTTATCCATATCAAAATCTTACTGTATGGCTATTTCCTGCTTAAAATTTTGTCTACTGGACTTGCCAAGATAAAATCCCCCACAGTGAATTGCGCAGAAACCTGGATACGGTAGCAAACAGACACATCATAATGCCCCTAATGGGATTTGACCGCCGGCTATCGGCCTTGTGACAGACAAGTCACTTCGCTGACTGACATACCGGGCCACAATTGTAACTACAAACATGCACAAATCCTAAATGAACAAGAATCCACTTACATCCATGTCTTCTCCAAGGAGAGACCTTGTTACATGCTGACAGACCAGCTTCATTTTCACAGACGTCTGAAACACAAAGTAAAATTTCACTGGGAAATGCTTAATTAAGGAAACTGTGATAAATCACTGAGCAGAGACTATGGGCTCAAAGACCAGAATTGGATTCCTGGCAGAGGCTGGAATTTCTCTTGACCACTACATCCACACCTGCTATGCATCTGCCCAGCCTCCTATACAATGGATAATGTGGGGGTTCTTTCCCCAGGGGCAAGGCAGCCAGGAAGTTATGCTGACTGCCTTCACCTGCAACTGAGGTTAAGACCATGTGGAATGAGCTACATCTCAATTCCCATGGTTCAGTGCTTCATAACCAGGGGGCAACATTTAAGACTCAAACCAGGTCCTCAGAAAATCTTCTTGGTAATCTCCTCACCACCATTGACACGTAACATCTGCAGGTCAATCAGATTTTATCAATCTGTGCACACTATGGAGCTGCAAGTTCTAGCCAATTTAACCCCAGGAAACAGTGACTGGACACGAGGCTGCATGTGTGTTGGAGGAGGTGTGTCATACATGACAATAAAGAGACAAATTCCTACAGCTTGAAACTGAACTGCCAGTTACCCAGTCAATGAGCATCTACTTTACTGACTAAGCCATTGCAGCTCCTTAAAATTTTATTGGGCATCATAATCATATTTTACTGCAATATATACAGTATAACAAGCAAGTCAGAATTTACCAGTGACTCACCATGCGAGCAAGTGTGTTTATCTCAGCAAGAATCCAGTCAGGACAGTCCAAATCTCCACAGAAGCGGAACCTCTAAGAACAGAATGTGAAATATTGTAATGTGCCAAGGAGATTTAATAAATTTTATTAAACACATCTGTAAACTTCACATGATACCTAATTTTCTGTGAATAAATAGTCATTCAACCATAATCATAAAACTAACACCACATACAGATGAGGAATGAAGTGTCTTGGTATAAACATATTGAAACGTACACTCACCTCTCTCTACTTAAGTCATTTAATTTCATACATACATACATAATCCATCCCTTCATAAACACACGCAAGAAAGTATAATCTTGACACCATAATAAATAAAACATATGTATATATGTACATACCATGATGTGTGAGTTCCAGCTCACAGCAGGTAGCAGCACTAGGCAGTAACCTGGAACAAGGGTATAAACCTTGTCATGGTGTTGCTTGTTTTACAATTTTAAATAGATTAGTGGGATTATATGGAATTTTATGAGACAAACTTAATCAGGAGGAAGTGGTGTGGCTGATTTTATAATGCTGTCACACATCTACCTTTGAAAACACAGGACAAGATCAAGATTTCTTCCAAGTACCTCCAATATTGTGATGAGATGCCCACTAAATATATTTACTGAGGAAATCTCATATATCAATTTACAGAGGCAACGTTTTTTGCACTTCGTTGAATTGTATAGGAATTAAGAAAACAGATGTCAATTCTTTGTAATTAGCAAACAAGGGCTATGTATAAACCTCCAGATCAATAGCAAACATGAGTTCCACAAGTAAAAATTTACATTCATATAACGCCAAATAAAAAATTCATTCAACGTATCTTCAGCACAAAATATATTAAGAAATATACAATACAAAACATGCAATTAAACCATTCCACACACAACATGTCGTTCCTGCAACCTCCATCTACCAGTAAATTCGGGATCACAATATTCACATAACCTCTACATTACTTCAGAACTGAAATAACAAGAATAATAAAGTAACACAAACGTACTGTGATTGGGCAACAATTTACAGCAACACAGTCTATACGCTGTAAATAACTTTGTAAATGCTGTTCCATTCTACATAACCATCGTCAATAAATAAACACTTCATACACAGGTACTTTGTGGAAACAGTGCAGCCAACAATAACTTCCCAGATATCCCTCAGGTTAGTCATGAATAAATACACCAGAGTGCACTATAGTTGTACAAATTACGACAGTAGCTAAAGGCCGGCACCCAAAACAAATGAAACAAGCATCGGTTAGTTGTACAAATTACGACAGTAGCTAAAAGCGGGCACACAAAACAAATGAAACAAGCATGGGTGCTAATAATATCGAGAATTACTCCGAACGACAGCAACCAATTGAACGCATTCGAATGTACCTAACTTATTCGATTCTACAAATTCTTTATATGTATCGTGAATTATCACAGGTATGTCATGGCACACTCGTAGGTTGTTCCGAAAATAATTATGCATACTATAAATAGTTTTATTTAAAAAGACAAATGTAACAAATAATACGTAGTTTACAGTCTTGTTCGTGTTTTTACGTGAAGTCGGATTTGTGCAATTCGAAGAGAACAATTAATAGCATCGATGGCTAATATCGAATTGTGTAGCAAAATGTAACTATCGAATAGAATAATTTATGCTTCTCGTTCGGAGTTTCAATCGAATGGCACCAACTAGACTGGTGATTAGGTCCATTGAAATCCTGAAGATCAGAGTATTTAAGCGCTGAAACCACCGATTATTTTCGCGTGTAGCCCACACAAAACCGAAAAAAAGTTGTGGATACACAAAATCAAATGCCGGAACTGGCAAAACTGGATACAAATACGTATCAGCACTTAGCGAGATTGCTGTATCAGCTACTCTATTATGAACGAATTCCAGTAAGAAAAACGACGAAGACTTAAACATCATAATTGTCATACCTGGAATATCTGTTCATGACGTAATTAACTAAGCACCACGCCACGAAAGACGAATGGGGTGTTGACAGTAAAACTCCTAACGTAAACCTCGGAGCTAGAAAGAGCTAACTGGTAACGCTCCGGCCGCTTTAACCCATGGAGCAAAAGTTTAGTTGGTCCCAGAGCCGATCTGAAAGCGGTAACTAAAATGATTCTTTCCCTGCTAGAAATCTACTGACTGGGTTTTTCTGTCTCAATCAAGTGGAAAACTTCCACGCAGATTATTGAACATGTGATACGAATACAGTTTTAATCGCCGATTGCTCTTCTCTCATTATTTGACTACATATTAATTAAAATGACGGCACTGCAGCTGTTTCGGCTAAAATGGAAAACAAAGTAAACGCTCCTTTGCCGGCGCGAAACTATGTCAAAGATTGTCATTACGACGAAAAGTCCGACTGAAATAAAAAATGTATTTGGCCTTTTGATTCTGCCTTTTGTTTGTTGTTTCATTGCGAGTGAATTTCCCAGCAGAGAGCGAGGGGCTGGACTGTCGCCTCAAGACACTAACAGAGCCACAAAGGCGCCCCGCCCCGGCAAACATAAAATGAAATCACGACGCGCATCGACCCAGTCACCATGTGCGCAGGCTCGTACGTCATGGAGGGAACTTTTATATTTGCGAGTTGGAGAAATTTCAATTTATTGCGACACTAGTCTGCCTGAGGTAAAAGGATTTATTCAACAAAGGCAATGAACCGCAGTTCAGGACACGTTTAAACCGGAATGTCACACACGATCCTACTGCCCAGAATGGAGCCATCTCCAGACACTTGCTATTCGATGTATCGAAACACGCATTTGTAAAAGCGCGTCTTTTGGCATTTACGTGTTACGCATCGAAAACAAATTCTGCCTTCTGATGAAAAGCTCGTGTATCAGATCGCCGTACTTGCGCGGCAACTTCTCCTACGCAGCTGTGATGCGTGCAGTATGAAATTAGTTTGCAGGCGTCCCGCAGCAAACTGGAAATAAATTACCACATGTTGACTGCGGTTTTCAAAACTGAAAATGGACACGACAGATTCCTCTGAAATGTTAACCTACTACAAGATAAATGACGTCACAATCCAGAATACCAGGACGCAAACGAAAACCTGTTTCATCCGCGTCTTTGTGAAGACCAGACGTCTTACCAACACGTAACAGAGATTCTGTGATTTTTTTATGATATTTATGTTTTCACCCTGTAAATTAACATCGTCAGCAAAAGAACAGAAACTGATGTACCCCATTCCTGTTTTCGTGTCCCCGTCTGACAGAGCACTATAAAGCAAAGTTGAAAATTTTGCCTCTTCACAAAATCATTCACCAGCCGGGAAATTTCGGCTAGATTCTGTCTCCTTATTCTACAAGGAAAAGCAACGCTACTGGTGAAGAGTTCTGTGTGACCATCATCACAAATAACAGACCATCACCAATAACGCAAGCAAGGCCGATGCGCCAACTGACGACGCGGAAGCAAGCCTAGAGAACATGGCGGTCCACCGGATGTTTATTGATTTTTACGTGGTAACTAATGAAATACAGAAGTAACATTTTGCATGCTGACAAGTAATAATGAAGAGGAAGGATTTTGTATTCCAAAGGTAATGCGGCCGGGAACTCTAATCAGTTTATATATTTCCTTCCAATACCTTCATACAGAGTACAGTCTTTTTATGAAAACACAAAAAAATGAAAACACCCACACAAGTGTACTGGCGCACATAAACCATCGAACTGTCGCTTGGGACGGTTCTCGTTGTCGCCCTGGCTCTACACCTCTGTCCGCCTGCCACTCACACTCGCTGTCAGCCTCAGTGACCGCTCTGGTAACCGGCAGATGTGCATCAGCGCTCGGATCTCGCAGTGGGAGATGCGTCACTTCCCTCCGACCTTGGCGGTTTGCGCAGTTATCAGCTGTATACTGAGAACCGTTCCAGTCAATAACCGGTCGACGCGAGGTTCCGGCATCCACCATCAGTGGACGCTGAGTCACCTTTCTCGACACCTCCAGATCTGTAGAGTCATTAGGTGGGCACTGCGAAACGTGTCTGTTGATAACAAGTTTGCTTTCGATTGTCAGCGGGCGTACAGTTACGTCTCCTCGCACCTTCTGCCCCCCTTCAGCTTTGTGCAAAGGCTTTTTGCTGCCGGAAATCCATTTCAAGGCAGAGCCACTGGGTCCTGACACGCACTGGGCCGCTTCGTGGCTTCCCTTCCCACCTCCGGAGTCAACGTCGGAGACCCCGTGCTCATTTCTGTTGATACGCAGTTGATATTCTCCGACGATCCGAACACGCACGGGGTGCGGACGCTCCGACTGACTGCCAGAATCAGCGAACGGTTCGCTGTATTTACGCGTGCTGATAACGGGCTGACGCAAGTTGCTACTGTCAACAGCTGACGGAAAACGTGGCAGTTCCCCTTGAACAGCAGAGCCGTGAGTTGCATCGTTGTGGTACTCATCGCCAATGGTAACTTCGGGCCGGTAATTACCCAATACTTTGTGCCCGCTGTGCCGTGAATCTCTCCCTATGTCCCTTGAGTTTATAAGACTCTTACTCGCATTGCTTCCGAGAGCATTTGAAGTTCGTAGACTCGCGTTATTCTGTCTCTCTGGATAAGTTGATTCAGTCACCAGACCTCTAGAGTTGCTCCTGCTAATAACAGGTTTACGTTCACTGCTGTTGGATACTGTGGCTGTTCGTAGACTCGCGTTATTCTGTCTCTCTGGATAAGTTGATTCAGTCACCAGACCTCTAGAGTTGCTCCTGCTAATAACAGGTTTACGTTCACTGCTGTTGGATACTGTGGCTGTTCGTAGACTCGCGTTATTCTGTCTCTCTGGATAAGTTGATTCAGTCACCAGACCTCTAGAGTTGCTCCTGCTAATAACAGGTTTACGTTCACTGCTGTTGGATACTGTGGCTGTTCGTAGACTTGCGTTATTCTGTCTCTCTGGATAAGTTGATTCAGTCACCAGACCTCTAGAGTTGCTCCTGATGATAACACTTTTATATGGCCTGCTGTTACGAAGAATTGGTGCAAGCTGATTCAATTCTTTCTGCCTCTCGTGATCCTTTGTTTCAATCGCTAAGCGCCAAGAGTTGCTTCTTCTGATAACAGGTTTAAACTCATTATGGCTTCGAAACGTCTGACGACGGCCAACATCTCCCAATGAAGAGATTCTCACTCTTCTCTGAACGGATATGTTTCCATTCACGTCTTGTTCATATATTTTGCCTATGCTAACCGCCGACGATCTGTAGGATGAATTCCGATGCGCAAAGTTGTTCCTCCTGCTTCCGGAATGGCTTCTCTTCATACTCGGTTGACGGCGATTACCGTCCAGAATAACGTGGGCTGCGTGCGCAAGACTTTTCCGTTTTCCTACGACACGCGCTGTACTATCTGCAACAGAAGCGCCAATGCGAGGATTCGTCAAGGACTGCGTGAATGAATTTCACGTGTATTGCAACACATCTATCTAGATTGCGTCCAGAAGTACAGAGAGGACACGAAGCTCGCGAAGGAACTAACCTGAGGTGCGTCCGACGGATCAGGAGTTGAGTCGATTCTGTCGCTTACCGAACACCTTCATCGGCGCGCACAAGATGAATGTATGTGTTGACACATGCGAAGTTCAGGAACAGGGCTGCGGAATGCTGGCCGATTAACAAGTCATTCAGAAATAGCTCTTAAAGACTCGAAGTACCTGACCAAAGGTCGACAGGAACAATCAGCGTGCGGTAATAATGGCTCCGAGCCCATTATCGGCGCTGTGACCACTCGACATCAGCTGCCACTTATCACTTCGCTATCACCCAAGTCCTCAAGTAATGCTCTCTCGTGGCTAAAATTCTTCTGATATTTCAGCGTACACGTGCACTCGACGTATAACAATTTGTGACAAAGGTCAAATGCGGAAACACCTGCTGCAAAAGTGGACATTCGTCGAAACAAGACAACCTCTGGCGTTTTGAGGTTCTCACGGCAGCGAGGACGAAGATGGCTGTCTTCTCAGTCGCTGCGCCGCGTAGCTTGGTAGACGTTTAAAGACGTTTCAGAGGTCGTATGTGCTAGTTCCACCATCAGGGCGATCGACCTGATGAAAGACAGCCGTCTTCAAGACGACAATCTTCACTCTCGTCCATCGCAAAGGCGACGCCGCGAAAGTATCCGGGCACCGGACCGCTCCGGTCTGGCAGGCCGGATGCCTGACCTGAGCGGGGTCACGCGGCAGTTCGAGAGCATTTGAGCCTCGGAGAAAATTTGGACCTGACACACAGGAAGTTACAGGAACTCTTTATTTGTACTCTTAAAAAATTCGGATAATCAAATCGAGGACGAAGAGATTGTCAGGGCATGTAGCGCGCACGGAGAAAGTGAGAAATATTTTGGTTCGAAAGCCTCAAAGGAGGGCCTAGGCGCAGATAGGAAATAATATTAAAACGGGTCTTGGAGATAGAGAGCTTTTGATTTCGTCTGGATTAATATGGCTCCGGCGAGCCCTTTGAACAAGGAAGTGAACGTTTGGTTACCGTAAGAGACAGAGAATTTCTTGATCAGCTGAGCGACTACTATCTTCTCAGGAAAGACGCTGCTCCATTGAAGCAATTAAGCTGCAATAAAGGTCCGAAGTTCGATTCCCGGCGGTGCCCGAATTTATAACTTGTGTTGGGCAAGGCCGTGGTCTAGGCAACACGGAGTTTTCCTCCGTGGCATCCCAACAATTACTCCATTCACACACAAATAATAAAAATATAATGGCCGAAGAAAAGTGGGCGCGTCTTGTCATTTCGCCAGTGCTGCCAATACTCCGAAACAAACACACGGCTGCTACACGCTGTTGCTGTGCTGTCTTATCTGACAAGTGCCACGATAAGGACAGGCCGTGATACGCATCGGCGTGGTCTCAGGGTCAAGTCAAGCCGCGGGCATACCTGGCATTCCTACTGAGATAAAAGAGAACCGACGATGTTTGACTCGAAAGAACATTTTCAGACTCAAATGAAGGGACACGAAGATCCCGGCTGTAAGGAAGGCATAGAGATTCAGGACGTTTAGGGCCAGTGTGTTAGGGACGTGAGAGGGATGAAGACAGAGAAGAAGCCTCACCGGGTATCAGGGCGATCAAACCAAGTTGGATGAGACAGGTTCTCACGCGTACCCTCGAATGGGCGAGCATATTCAGCGACGGCTCTTCTGCAGGTACAGCAGCACTCTGCATTGCCTACTCACTGCCTGATCTGTTCTTCTGACAGTGTAGGCAGGCGATATAAAAATATATATACCATGTTACATAAATTCGTGCCCGATGAATCCACTAATTTGTCATGAACTCCTGGACTCAAAACTAACTAACGAACGAACGAACGAACGAACGGACAAAGAAGCGACGCGGCGGACCGACCCTGCCCCCACTAAGCGTGGGACGCCGCGTCATTCCGTCCGTCTCAGCGCGTTCCGTTCCACTGAGTGTCAGTAACGCGCCCTCCCGCTTTCAAATGATAAAGACGCAATCATTTCAAACATCACATTAACATTTTAAGGCAATTTGCGTTACAAGAGCGTTTGGATGCGGGTAATGACGTCACACGCGTCGTTGATAACAAACGAGCGAGCATTTGCGTCACAAAACGAGCTTCGACAGAACAAGGGGTTCGAATCCTCGTGTGGGGCGGGCGGGCCATGGCGTGCGAAGAACTTCAAGGGCCAAGAAACAAAATCCAGTAGCGGAGGGGGGGGATAGGGGTGTTGGTGGCAGATTTAATCTCACCCCCCAATGTTAAAGCGAACAAATAGAGCTGGCTAGATCAGAAACAGTATTTAACTCGGGGTAAACCACGGAACAGGTAGTCGAATGTCGGGCGGCGACGCAGACCTCTCCTCGCCACTTCTGTGTCCGCCCGCCTCCTACTGCATGGGTGCCTGGGGTAAACCGCGACCGGGGTGTGAAGCCGACAACTAACATTCATCCCGCGCAGGAGTTAAGAACGAGTGGAGCTATGCCTGCACTCCCCCATACGTATTGTTTGAGCACGGAGAATATCTTTACCAATTATTAACATTCCACAAGGTCAGTGGTAAACATATTTACCAACATAATTAGCAGTCAGTAACCTTTCATGCTGTGTTTGTGTGTTTCGTATAGCCCTCAATGCAAACCGCGATTATTTCATTAAAGAGTCGTAACCAGTTGATCTTTGTAATGGTGAAGTGTTTTGTTTTCTTCGCGGTACGGACTGAATTCTTAAATACTACACAAAGGAACTTCGACTTCAAGGAGCTGATTTATTGAGACTGAATGTAGTCTGTACTAAATAATGGTGTCGGGTCACAAAACCTTAAGACATTTGTCCGAACAGCGTGACCTAACAGCGCCCGGTGCCTGTTCCATTAGCCCGCGGCGTCTCCGTGTAATTCCATTACGAAACGTCAAGTCACGGTTCGGCCCCGGTCCCAGAGTCCCAGCTCTAATCTGAAGAAACAGCTGACAGCCACAATCCGTGTCGGGCTGACCCCTGACGGGCGGCCACACGCCCCACAGCAACAGGTATTTAACCCGTCCCTAGCAAGACCGCAGCCCGCAGAGCAGCAGCAGCAGGAGTCGGGACGATCGTCTCAGATACGACGCTCCAAATTCTGAATATCGACAAACGGATTGCGACTTCGCCTGGCGTCGTGTTGGGGACTTAGCGTGATTAAGTACGAGAAGAATTAAACTTTATTATTTATTGAGGAAACGCAGCTTGCATGTTCAACATCGCTGCTTAAAATTGCTTAGGGCTCGTGGCCTTGCACGTGTGAATTTCATGTTGTAATCATCCTGAGGGGTGAATGTGTTTTGTTCGACTCGCATCCATACTGAGGTCTGGTTCCTCCACGCGGATGCTGCAATAATATCTTACTTGCTTACTGGCTCCATCATCACTGCCCTGATGAAGGAGGCAGTAAGCAGCTGAGAAACGCCGATCACTTCTTACCAGAGCTCACAATCGCTGGCTACTGAAAAGAAATATTTCACTCGTAACGTGCAACGGAGTCTACGACGGGGTGTAGTTCGATGACAGTCCCGCCCTCCGAGCGTTCCTTCGCGCTGTTCTCACAACATAGCAGCTTTCGTTTGTTTCAGGATGACATCCACACTGCTGATGGTGTCGCTAGTGCTGACGTGGAGTTGCAGCGACGTGGTGCGGTCATCATCGGAATTAAGAAATATGCAAGTGAGTACAACAATTTCTGCTAACACAGAGTAAGAAAACAAGATATTTTTCATCAACTGCGCATTTTAATTCTGCAGTAGACATCAGTTCCTGAAAAGTGCGATTGACAGATCTGAAAGCGTGAAGGGCGCGTTTTCGCGGCTGTCTTTTGTTACTCAACAGCTTTACGACAGCTTCGTATTAGGCGTCGGCCAGATCACTCATTTGCTCCCAACGATCCGCTGTTCTCTTAAAATAATTGGAGCAGCGCCGCCAGTTCGTTGGGTCCGGGGAACTGGAGAACACAGCAGCGGCAATTATTGTTATTTTAACATCCCTCAACAATTCGTTGCGCTCTTTCCAGAGATCTTCATAGCACTGAGTTTCTCCGCATGATCTGAGTTCCAAAGCAAAATTCGCCTGGAACTGAAGGACAGGACAGGAAGCCAAACTTCATTGTCGATGATCGCACGACAATCTAATATAATCTAATATAATTCTAGACACATTAAGTTTCAGCTCAATGATTTGTCACTTCGCTGCGTTAAAATGATTACAAATAAATTAAAGTACACTGCAACACATGTTTCGATAAACTCTGCCAGATGGCGGGCCATGGACGGTCTTTCAAATATAAATTACCGTAATTATTACTACTGAAATATTCCACTTGCTAGGAAAATAAATTAGCCGTGAAATCACTTCAAATTTAGATTCGCTTCGCTTGTTTAAACTTGTTTACTCACCGACACTGGCTTAGAGAACATTTGCCGCTCGCCCCGAAGCCCCGTGTAAAATCTACATAAACAATTGGCATTAATAAGACGCGAAAGTTTCGCATTCGAAGAACGTCGTAAGGGCTGACGTCACGACGGGAATTACAACCACCAACCGTTAATTAGCGCCCATTGTATCAGAACGGCGGGGATTAGTTTCCGATCCGTTTGGCAGAATTATTTCTTAATCTTCGTTGTCACATTTAAGAGCGGGATGAACTTCAAATTACTCGTCACTCGAAAACACGGAATTTTTGTCCCACGAAAACGTAATTAACACATTTAAAAATATTGTACCATTCGTTCACTTAGAACATGGACCAAATGACAGTCTGGGTCTATCCTCAGAGTCGATCACTCTCCTCCGTCCAGTGTCAAGTTTAAGAAAAATACGTGGAGTCATACCCCGCCCCCGAAACGTCGTCATGGCAAATTTGCTAACACAACTGCGTTCTGAAGTTAATATAAAATGAGAATTGAAGAGATCAAGACGGGGCTAGTGGCCCAGTAACTCCTCTCGCAAAACTGAAGGAAAGATGCGTCTGTAAGCAACAGCTGTGTGAACGCGAGCAGACAAACACGGAGGCACTAATCGCTTTATCTCGACTCACGTTCCCTGCACTTTCGAGACGATTAATCGATTTTATTTATCCTGAGACCTGTTATGCGATTAACACAGCCCTTCACAGTCTGAAGGCGATGTTCACACTACAATTAATTCCTGTTGCTGTAGTGCAATCAGGGTCCCGAAGGATCAGAGACACTGCAGACATTTT